ATCCCTACCCTTTCACCTTTGCTATCCTTCCCTTTATGCTTTTCAGATTCTTTTTCCACATCAATTGTTAGTTGGACTCCCTTCTTCAGGATCAGCTAGTGGAACGTTGTTAATTCCAAAGAAGCCATGAAAAGTTAAGACCGTGCTTTTACGGCTTTTCTTATTCTACAGAAAGGATTTAGCAGCTTCGGCCTTTTGGGGACAGTGCTTATAAACAGAAGAGTTATTTATGTGACATAAAGCACTTCAATTTTTATTTGAAAACACTCAATAAAAATTTATTTGCATTTGACCAACATCACGGTTCTCTCTAAAAGGACTGCCAGCAGAAGGGTACAGTTAAAAAGTTCCGGCAATGATTATTGCCTCATGTTTTATGATATGCAGAATTCAGCAGTCTCTAAGTACAGATGTTTTTCTGCATCACTACCATTTTAAACACATAGTGACTGAACAGAAAGTTTTAGTTTGTTAATGAACTTGAAATTTTCAAACATGGATAACGCATGGATACTGCATGTATCCTTAAATACTTTTGAGTTCATCAAGATATGTAATTAACTTCATAAATTCCTCTTTAGTGGAAGCTTATATTTTCCTCATAAATCTTACTGTTTTCTACACGAATAACATCTCATTTCTCAGAGGGATTTTTATCTCAAAAAATGTTCTTTCGAATGTGTTACCACAGGTTCAAATGCAATACATGGCATTTGTTACCATCAGACCTAGCACACACACTTCCTCTAAGATGCTCTAGACTTCCGCTTCATAGAAAAGAAACATTGCATTGCCACCAACTAACATTTCTACCCTCTCCTATAGATCGTTTAGAAAAGAAACTTCTGAGACACTAACACAAGGTGACATACTTATATTAGATGGGAGGTTTCAAAAAATTACGCCTCCCAACTTATAAGATGAAAAATAAGAATCAAACCATAAGAAATGAACTGCATTGCTCTTTCCTGCTCAACAAGTTGAAGTCTGTGCAGTTACGTTACATGTGAAATATGGGGTTTTATACAAGGAATAACGACCACTGTGTAGCAAGTGGCTAATTTTTTTTTCCCATCTTGGTGCAAACCACTATTTCCTTCCCAACATCTTGAACAAATTATAAATCATAAAATACCAATGCGCCAAAGGTGTGAGGAGATCTGTATAAATCTTCCTCTTTATTTGTTCACTAAGTTCTTAGGTCAGCTCTTGCTAACATTTGCCAAGCATACTTCTAAGATGACTTTAGGGAGAAGGAATTGGATTCTTGAATAATTTATTTCATCTTTAAAGGAAAAAAGAAATTACTACATCCTTCCTATTTCTGATTGGGATGTTGCCCTTGTACTACTTCATTTTCCCATGACAATGTATTTTTTCCGATGTATGTTTTTTTTTTCTTAATAGTTTGTTATACACACTCTGCACAAGAAAAATGCATTTCCATAACTTAATATCAGCTAATAGTTCAACATATATTAAATGTGAATTTAAACCACTGAAGAGCAGCTATTTCATTGCATTTATTTTATGCTCAACAGAAAAAATTTTAAAGCACTGGTAAGCGGACTACTTTTTTCCACCCCTCCTCCCAAGATGTACAGAAACTGTGTCAACACCAGTAGTATTAGACAAGGATACATTAAGATTAAAGTGATACTGTAAAAATACTGTTTGAAAAGAGTTTATTTTTTCTGAGCAGAGCTGCTACTGTTCATGTTTACTTGTTATCTCATAATTTTAAAATTAAATAACTGAATGTCCAATTAATCTTTTTTAGGACTTTATTTTAACATCTTCCAGTATGCAAAGCCAATTCTCAATTCAATTCCAACTCAATTTTAAATTCAAATGTCAAGTTCCCAGTACTTCAGTACATAGTAGCCATGTGTCTTATTCTGTACAGTGACTTAGGTTTAGAAATTTTTGTAAAACAATGGCTATCTACCAAACAGTAAGTCTTATACTAACAAGCTGTATTGATGAAACAAAGCTGAAGAAAACTTATTTTTGGTAGCTCAGAGGCAGATTCTTTACGAAGATTAAAAATCTTCAAGTAATTTGGAAAAAAGTCCTGGCAACATCTGCTAAAGTTAACACATTTATACAACAATTCTGAAAGCAAACGGAAAGAGCACACAATCAGATGAAGAGCATAAAAAAAAACCCTGAGAAGTGCCTTGTTAGAAATTATCATAACCTTTCCTGTAAAGGTTACAAAATTTGGAAGACAGTTGTTTCTACCATGTTTTCTCCTGCATCTAATAAGAGGGGGAAAAGGAGCGAAAGTAATGACTCCTATTTCCTTTTCCAAAGAACAACAAGTAAAGAAAGCTAAAAATAGCACAAAAGATTTCTATGGACATCTTCAGGCAAAGACACCATTTACAGCTGAAAAAAAGTCTATCTGAACTGAAAAATATAGTGTTCATTTACGTCAGTGAACATACAGTTCAACAACATTTAGAACAAGAGAATAATTGGAAAACCTCCATATAAGACTTTCAAGACAACCTCTCAATCATGTCTATTTTTTCTAACGGAGTTTATGCCTTAAAAGTTCATGTGCATTTTAAACAACAGTCATTTTAGTGTTAATTTCAGTAAGAACAGATCTGGCCTCTTACAACACAGACACTTCAAGAAAGACGGAACAGAAATAGAACATTAATGAAGCTTACTAGTGTCAGGAATTAAAATTCACAACAGTAATCCACAAATGACAAGACAGAATCTCTACAATCAATATTTAGTTACGAAGTATATCATACGGTTTACTGGATCTGTATTTGGGTACACCTCCCTATCTATTCAGGAAAAAAGTGTCCCTCTAAAAGGAAAACAGAATATTAAAAATATGCCTATGATCTAAAATAAGAACCAGCTAGGAGCATAGCTTCATATTTGTCTTGCACATACACAATATCAATCTCCAAGTGAAAACCTCATTGCCTGCAAGTCTTAAAGTCTTATTTTATAAGTGGTTTAGACAAGTCTGTATTTCTTTTCTTCTTCAGTCACAGACTTATACTTCCACAAACCCAATCTTAACACGTCATAAATACCATTTTTTAGGGGATTGGGTTTTTTAATATAATAAATTACAAGTTTCATGCAGATAATCACAGTCTAAATTATAAACAAAAATATAGGCGATATATATGCATATACATACATATACACGTGAAACATGATTTGAAATAAGAATGGGGTGATCTTTGCAGTCAGAACTGCTAGCACTTAAGATTCCAGTGTTCTAGCACTGAAAATAAAATGGTACAGTATTTAAATTCTCAGATGAGTTATGACAGGAAACAACCCCCACCACCAAACCTGTCACTCATCTGCTTTGCCATGACAGAATGAACAGACTAGAAAAATCAGTTTTAAAAACCTGTATTTTTTGTTTTTAAAATAGAGGTAAACCAAGAAAGAAAATCACTAACTTATTTTAATGCCTTTCATAAAGCTCTGCAGAATGTATTTCCATTATGATATGACAGTAGCAATCATGGTTCCTAACAAACACAGTGCCACAGAATTACTTATCGCTGCCACGATTTTCCAAAAGGCTGCCAGCAATCCAAGACCATATCCAATTTCTTTCTATATGGGAAATGAGAATGGAGCAGAGTGCAAGAGTACTGCAACTTGTTGAGCTCCACTGCCCTCACTCAAAGCAGGAAGGAAAAACAGGCAAGGCAACACCTGCTTTCAGCCTTGCTGAATCCCTGACTGGCATGAGCAGAACAGGAAAGATCAGCAGGCAAGTCTGCAAACTTCTTTTCCTTCTCCTGGAAAAGAAAACCAAACCCACACCAAAAAACCCACTCAAACTAAAACCAATCCAACACCACTCCCCCACCCCCAAAAAACCCCCAGCCCACTCTCAACACAATCTGACCTTTACACTGCAGACAGTGCAATACTGGGTATCAATTATCTGGTATGATCAACAGCAACAGAAACATATGCCAAAAATCACATATTCACTTAATGAGAATAGAGGCAATAAACTGTTTTGGCAGAATAATTCTCAACCCCAGAGTGAGCTGTGTAGAGGAAGAAAGCTAAAGGAAGCAAGGAACTAATTTCTCAGTGCTCCAGGGGTCAATGCTCTGCCATGACTACCAGCTTTTGAGACGCTGGTGGTGTTATTTATCTGCTTTTCCCTTGTTACCTATGGACGCTTTTCAATGTTATGGATCATTAGCTATAATCGGGAAGCCCCAGTGTGTTGAGTGCTGCCTCTCCAGAGCACAAGGTACAAGCACTGGCAACTGCAGCTGCACTATCAGGCAGAGGTTTTGCTTGGCATCCTTCAGAACAGCACCTTCTGTAGGAATTTTTCATCCTCCTTTACCCAGGCTATACACCCCAGGGCACCTCACTTTACAGCTAAAGAAGAAAAGCCAGCTACATAGAGTTATGGGGAGAAAACAGGGCCATCAAGATACAACAAAGCAGTCAATTTCATGGTAGAAATGGTGAGTCTTTTGAGTCTTGGAAAAAGAAACTTATAAAATATTCTACTAAATTGATTCCAGGTCAACCTGTAATTTCATCCCCCTCAAGGCTATTACTTGAAACTGCACAAAACTGTAGTAGCTGCCTAAACACTTCAAATCACTTTAACAGAATTATAATCCTTATTGACACTATGATTGCTTTTCCGTCATCAGTGTCTTGTGATAGACTCAAATGGAATTATTAACAACACTCATAGGATCTAGGAGCATTGATATATGGGGTATGCTACAACAAGAGAAGGAGGGAATTGTCCATGGACAGTGTGTTTAGCCATCGAAAAAGAAAACTTATTTCCTATACCAAATTAAGGATAGTATATAATTTATAGAAAGTGGGTCTGAGGCTCAGTTTTACATTTGGCTTCAACATTTGCAGAAGTGTGCATCCGCTGTGTTTACGGATGACATATAGCTTTTGCAGGGGACATTCAAAGGTATTTCCAACCCAGAACAAACTAATTCTATACTTACAGCATGGGGTGCTTGGTCTGTTCACAAGCTGTGGGAATGACAAGACAGATGACATCTCTAGTTCGTCGTTTTGATTTTGTTTCTTTTCCACAGTCTGATCAGCCCAAACTACTGATTTTTGTCTTTGAATCAGTTGCTCAACCTCCCCAAATTCAGCCTCAGTTAAATTATTTGTCAAGCCAGCTCCTTTCAGAGTCAGGTATTGCTTGCGAAGAACCGGAAGCAAAGTATTTAGTACTCTGTAAAACAACAAGATGCAAGATGAGTATGACTAAACCGTAACTAATCTGATCCTTACTACTAGCACTGCCACTATTAGGAACACAAGGGCATATTTGCCCCTCTCACTGCCCCCACCAAGTTCTGTTGTGTAATTTATTTTGGGGAAATACCAAGACATAGATAAAATATTCCAGACTAGAGTGATTTTTCCCTTTTGAAAATACTCTATTTCACTCTAAGCATTTATTAAGTACAGGTTTTCCTCAGCATCCCAGATCTTCAGTCCCTCAAATACCACAAAAACACAGCCAGTATACCTTGAGCTCCGACTTTCTGAAATTAAGTATCAGATAAATGAAGAGAACTATAAACCAAATACTGTGGTTTAAATCAAGAACATCTTAACTTGATGTGCATAGAAACTTATTAGAAGCCTAGTCCAAATAAATTGAGATACTAGGCTCTTTACATAAAGAATGGAATACACACCAAGATCCACACAACTGCAAATCAACTGAAGCAACCAAAGTTTAGGAATTCTACCTGAACACGAGAACTTAACTGTGGAGTCAGTTGCAAGACTAAACAGTAGCTTCAAGCAACAGGTAAAGGGATATGTACATAAAAAGAAGCAACTTTGTAATGACTAACAATGCAGCTTTAAAAATTTTGCTTTCAGTTTTGCAGGTTTATGTATTAGTTTTTGTAATGTTTATGGTAACAGTGTTTTCTCCAAAGAAGGAAGAACAGCTGGTTATTTCCCTTTGGAACGATTTAATTATAATTTTAATATACTTATTTACTGATCAGATTTGCGATTACTTCCCATTCCTTACGTCACACTCCGACAGCTAGTCTCCAACATTTTCAAGAGACTGAGAAAAAGAGCTGATGCTTACCTGCAAATTGAGCTTTTTTCAGCCTGACTAGCTATATAAGAGTTGAACAGTAACAATTTTTAATACAGGTAAATTAGTTAATTTTTACAGTGCAAGGAATTAAAAGAGAACACAAACATTTATTAAAAAAAAATCAGTACTGCTGTTCAACACAGAAGAAAAAAAAGACACCTTATTCTATTGAACAATTTGTAAAACCTATGCAAAAGAAGAAAATTAGATAGAAATATGAAGCATTAGTGTATACCTGCAGTTTCTGTTAAACAATGGTGGACACAGACCCAAATTTATAAAGCGATTATTATTTTACATATCTTTGTGCTTAAGAAAACACAATTCTAACCTAAAAAAAGAAGCTGGAGAAAAATCTTGCTTCTGTTTCAACTAAAACTAAATTCCATAGCTATGTCTTTTGAAGTTACAGATGTCAGAGTAGAGGTCTTATCCCTCCTGCTATCAAACCATACTTACTTTTCTGTCTCCTTATAATGCTGATCTTGAAGGGACAACAGAGATAACATGTGCTGAATCTGGGCTTTCAGGTCCTCAACTTCTAGGTTTAAATGGCAACACCGCAGATCTTCACAGAGTTCCTTGAGAAATTAGCAAGCGAAAAACCAATGACTGCACATCAGAGTGATAGTGAGAAATTAAAATTTAAAACTAAAAATAATACTAGTTTATCCTACATTGTGAAGAAAAGATGGAGTGGATCTATATTATTGTAATAAAGTTTTATGGCAGAAGAGTATGAACTGTTTGATTTTTTTTTTACATGCATAAATCCTACTTCATAGATTCCTTTGACCAATAGTGGGTGTTCTGTAATTAGCATTAAGAATCCAACAGGCACATAGGTATGCTTATCTATGCATGCTCAAAAATATGTTTGCCTCTTTTACTGTGTACTTGCTCCATATCTGAATTAGTGACATTGTCTGGGACATGTCTCCACTGTATTCAGTCATCTTCCTGATATGCCAGTATCCTGTTTGAAATATCTTAATTTCTTTTAAGGTATTAACATATTAAGTCATCCCAATAAAAATACAGATAATGAAATACTTTCAATTATGAGTCACGTAAGTGTTCATTGCACTATCATTTAAGCCACTCCAATTGCTGGCTGAGACTTAAAGTCAGGGAGGAACAACCTCCCACCTTTCCTTTCCTCTTCCTGTTCCTGCACAGACCTTCATCCCTTCCCTTCCGCCAGCTCTGATGCTTGTCCGAGGCTGCACTGAGCTGACTACTTGCTAAAACTCGGCAGAGAACTTAGCAGAGCTTCCCACTTCTTTGCCCGCTCCCACTCCTCCCCTAGCATTCTTCAAAAAAGAAGTTTGGTGCGGTTTTTTGGCCAGACTAAGAATTAGGTTGTCACATGGTTTGACAAGCATCAGCAGCTACTGTAAAGGCAAGACTGTAACTGTATGGACAGGAGCAGGATCGACACTCTGGCAGCCATATCAACTGCTCAGCCTTAGCATACTTATTCCCCTTTAGCCGCATTTTTGTATGTAATCGCATATTTTCATGAACAAGGAATACTTGCCCAAGCAATGAAGAAGAACAGAACCAGCTAAGATAAAAATTTGAAGCCACCCTGAAAGAATAGCAGCAGCCATGAGTAGAAGCGAGATGAAAAGAGGGGAAAAGAAAAAAAATCACCTACTCTTAACTGTAGTCAGATGTTGCCTACAATGCATGAAATCTGCCCTTGAAGTGAAAGGCATTTTACCTTTGGAATACTCCCATCTTGACTCAGGAGGCGCATTTCATTTTCAACTCGATGCAGCCAATTGGTGTTTTCCTCAAAACGTTCGACCTCCTCTTCTTTCTTCTTCTGCACGTGTATGCGGTGGGTACTAAGCATTGCAAGTCTTTGATCTCTCTTGCAAGCGGCCTAAAGAAATCAGCAGGTAAGGGGAAAACTTTCAAATGATGTTCACAAACATCTCCATATAAAAGGACTTTTTTGATACCTTTATACTCAACTGGGCTTAACAAACATTTTGCATTTTTGACCAGTTTAATAGAAGTGAAGCAGCACATTTTCCTTACAGGCATTACCGAATTAAACATTTTCTTTTTTTTTTTTCCTCCCCCAGAAGCCCTTATAAGAGAGACTACAGTCATTTGATTATTCCTTTAAAGAATAATGCATTGTTCTTGATCCATTTCTGTTCTAAGCCATAATTATCTAAGCCAGTTGGAAAGACTGGAAAAACTACACATGCCCAGACAAACACACTTTTAGATACAACAAAGCCTAATAATTTCTACTAAGTCAGGCATGAGTATGAAGAAAGAATTTTCTGCTTTGTTTTCCTAATGCAGTATGTCCTAAAAAAAGCCCACTACAGGATAAATTATTTGGCAAAAGGAAAGATCTCTATCTTCAACCACCAAAATTCTTCTGCTGCGTCTCTGAAATCTGACAACAGCAAGGCACAAAACCAGCAACAGCAAGCGGGATATGAATGAGGCAGCATCACAAGGCAAAGGACACTCCTATTCCAAAAACAACTATAGTTTGCTGTATACTTTAAAAGTTAGGTCAGTAACTCAACTAGTCATAGATAACATGAACTTTAGATAGAGTTCACAGAGTTCAGCTTTGCCTAAACTTCAGTTAAGAACAAACACAAAACGCCACAAACATTTGAAGTATATTGCTACACTCAATCCAGACAAACATACAGAACCTAGCTTTTTTTTATAAGTTATATAAACTAATCTCTAAACCCATACATCCAAAATTAACACCCTAAATGAAAACTTTGTCAGTTAGAATAAATCTACATAGTTAGAATAGCAGGCTAAATTAGTCCTATTAAGAAACATCATCAGAAACTCTGAATGTATCTCCCTACTGTTGCGGAAAGCAGAAATTACTCTAACTGAAGAGCGTGCCTTTCTGAACATCCTGTATAAAACAGGAACTGTATGTGGAGAGATGCAGATTGCATTGCTTCAGCTGCCTTTTCCCAAAAGCTTACTTCAACACATGGCGTGCAGAACAGAACCAGCGTGGTGCAGACACCTGAACTACATGGGCTCCAGGCAACTTACCGGGTCAAAGCCTAGATTCTGGCTAGAATTTCACTTTTCTTTCTCTTTAGACTGTCTTATCTGCTAAGATGACAGAGGATCCAGAGAAGACCACTTTGTAAAAGACCAGTTCTTTAGGGAAAGTACCAGGAGGAAGAGTTACCTGCCAGACTAAAGCTCACCATGACCACTGGTTCCCTCTGACCAGATTAGGGGAGAGCTTTCAGGACTGCTAAAGCAGAGAAATCTAAATGCATTGTTTTGCATACTTCAGCTTTTACACAGTGCAGGAGGGGTAACTGGGACCGAAGGTGGTATTGACAATATGCCATAGGTTCCCAGGAAGAAAGGACGTTACATCAGTGTGCTACAACAGAAAAAAATAACCGTTATGAGCGCTGCCTGTACACAACCTCCGGAATACACGTAGTAGGTCCTAGGAAAGACACTGAGTTGCTACTCTGTTTTGCAACCGAAAAAACCAAAACACAAAAAGGTACACAAGAAATTGTCCCTCCCAGGCTGAAGAACTGCGACATATTCAACAAGCTTTTTTGAGCCCAGGATGGGCAACTGCAGTAAGCAGAAAAACTGAAGCCAAGATAGACTGACTGCTTTCCAGGAATATGCTCCTTTTCCAGACAGTAAAAATAATGTTAAAGGGGTAATTAGAAATGTAGAAGTGGTTTTTAATCTAATATACTTTTTTCAAAGCCTAAAGTACCAGCAGTTTTTTGCCATTTCTTTAAAAATGAAAAATTAAGAAAATGGTAAAAGATTCCATGGCTAATGCAGAAACCTTCAAGATAAAATAGGTCAAAACTGAGTAGACTTCTTCCAACTCAGCAAGACAGTTAAAAGTAACTGTAACACAGGAGCACATACTATGTATGTTTCCATACAAAGAGGAAAGCTCTACACATTCTCCTGTTGGCACAAAGGTTTTCTGGCTAACACTGCTGTAGGTGACACCAAGCATGCAACAGGAAAAACACCACAGATGCAGAAATACAGGTAACAGGAGTGGAGAAACAGGCATAAGGCAGGACGTAAACAGGGCTTTTAAATGGGCAGCATGCAAGTTCCAAAAAAGGTGGAAACAGGGGCA